ATACGGGCATAGATGTTAAATCCTAAAGAACATGTTGGCAATCTGAATCCTGTGATTTGTAAGAAAGGTAATAATTCATCACAGTCAGTTTGTGTTTACCCCAGGAATGAAAGGCTGGCTTAACACAAGAAAATCTAACGTTATTCTCTGCAGTAACCACTTAAAAGAGGGAAAACCACATCATCTCAGTAGATGCAGAAATTTTGTATTAAATTTCAAACCTATTCAAGATAGGTAAAAGTCTTAATCAACTAGGAACAACAGTAAACTTACAACTTGTTGAAAAACATGTACCAAACCGAAAATCTACAACAAATGTCACATGTAGTGGTGAAATATTTGAAGCATTTCCTTTAAAATAATGATTTAGACAAAGATAGCTACTATTGTCACTTTCAACATTTTACTGGCAGTCCTAGGCAGCAGAAAAAGACAAGAAACTATAGTTTTTGTTTTGTTTTGCAAATTATATGATTGTTTTTTATAGAAACCCAACAAAGCCTACAGTCTTGTAGAATAAATAATTCAGCAGTTTGCTTAGGTCAATATGAAAAATGCAATCCTTTCTACCAGTAATAGACAAAAAATATAATTTTTAAAATACACTTTATAGTAGCAATAGAAAATATGAAGTACTAAGGAATAAATCTCATAAAACACGAGACTAACCAATATGGAAAAGATTTACAAAGTTTTATTGAAATACATTTAAAGATATAAATGGAGACATACCATTTTTTTGGTGCGAAAGATTCAGGTATCATTAAAACATCTATTCTTTGCAAATTAATCTCAACTCAATGTAAATCCAATAAAACACTAATTGGCATTTTCCTGGCAACTGACAAACTGAATAAAGAATTTACATGGAAGAGTAAAGAAACTGTGATTTTGATGAGTAAGAGGCGTGGGAGGACTGACAGGTTTATTGAGGCTCACTAACCACCACCGTCAGTAAGCCACTGACACACGGATGCATGAACAGAGAGGAGCCTGAACACCCAGGATTAGACCCCTGAGTATGACAACGTGACAGCAGTGACATCACAATCAGTGGGGGGAAGGATGGACTAGTCAGTAAATAATGGGTATTCAAATGGGAAAAACAAATGGCTCTCTGACTCATACACCAAGAGGAATAACAACAAAAACAAACTCAAATAAAACATCCAGTTGGATTAAAGACCTAAATGTGAAATACTTCGAGAAGAAAATACAGGAATAGGGAAAGACTTGCTAAAGAACACACAAAAAGCACAGACTACAAAGTAATAGGTAAAAGTTTTTATATAAAAAATAAAACTTCTGTTCTTTAAAATATGCTGTTATATTGTGGTCATATTTAAAAAAAAACTACTAATACATACTTAAATATTTAGGAAAAATAATACCTGGGATTTACTTCAAAATGATCTGGTGGGGAGGGAATGGGTAGGTAATAAATACAAACTTATCTCTGGTAATGGTTGAAACTGGATGATAGGTATATGAAGGTTCATCAAACTTTCTCTTTCATTTAGTAGAAAAAAATTTTTTTTCATAAAAAAGGCAAAAGGAAAAAAGAATATTAAGACAATAGGATACCAGCTTTCACCCACCAGATTAGCAAACATTTAAAAATCTGATAATCCTACGTGTTAGCAAGAACATGAAAAAGTGGCAACCCTTATACACAAATGGTAGGAACAAAAATTGGCACAACCAATTTGGAAGAAAATTTAGTATCGTCTTAACAAAACCGAAGATGTGTATTCTTGACTACCCAGCTGTTCCCTATCTAGACTAAATTCTAGAAGATCTTGCTCCTGGAAACATTTACAAGAATAAAAATGTTCATAGGCTCATTGTTTTTAATAGCAAAAGAACTGGAAACAACCAAGTGTCCTTTTGTAAAAGAATGTGCAACTATAAACAGTGGTCTATTTACATAACGGAATCAAAGTGAGCTTACTGGAGCTACACGCATCAACACATATCCTACAAACATGGTTTATAAAAAGGATTTTGCAGAATATAAAGATAACACCATTTATGTAAAGTATAAAACCATGTAGAAGTAAATATGTAGTCAGGGCTGCGTACATGTGTAATAAATTCCTAGAGAACAGCTAAGAATGATGCATTCAAAATTCAGAATAGTGGTGACTTCCGGCGGGAGAATGGAAGAGAATGGGGAGTGTAAGGTTTTGCTTCTAAGCTGGGTGTTGGGTACATGAGTATACATTATACTATTCTTTAGTCCTTCCATATGTAATAAGATAATTTGTAATTAAAAATAAAATTTTTTCACAAAATATACAAATAGCGAATCATGTACACTTGAAACTAATATGTCAATTATATCTCACTTTAAAATATATAAATTCCTTGCAGTCAAAGGAGGAGAAATGGTAGGGGAAAATGAGAGAAGAGACACAAAAGTACATGTTGGGGCACTAATAAATTCATTTCAATTCAACAATCAAAACAACTTCTATTGAGAACAGTTGAATGAAATTTTGACTATCCTACAAGGTACACGGTCATCTGCCAGAAGAAGTACGCTGATTCTTCTGAGTGCGAGAGGGGAGGGAGCTACCGGAAAAGCATGAATTCTGGCCAGACCCCCGATGAGGCCCCCAGATGTCAAAGCATTGGCAGGTGGGCTTTTGAGGCCAGCTGAAGGGGCTGAGCTTTCCTCTCCTTCACCCTGCCTGCTCCCTGCCCTCTCCTGTCTGTTCAGAATGGTTTCTAGGTTTGAGCCTTTAATGACAGGCAGGCAGTAAAAAGAAATACAGGACCGTGCTGAGTGTGTCTTCCACGTAGCTTTCGGAAGCGAAGGCCGCCTCCGGGAGGCAGCGGGAGCAGCAGTGTGAGTGTGAAAGACTCCGTGCTCCCTCCTGCCGCCTGCTCAGGGCTGCCCCGCGCAGCAGGGGCCAGCAGTCTAGGCTTCCGGCTTCTTAAGCAGGCGAGTCCCCTCGTCGGGAGGAATGCATCCTTCGCCAGCACCTGATTCCATGGGAAGAAGCCATGGGCACTACGTGCCAGGCTGCATATCCAATTAGGCAGGAGGCAAGACATGGGTGATCATCTTGGTATCAGCAGCTCCTCCCATCTCTGCTTTCTGGCTTCCCCAGGCCTTCCTGGGGGAGTCCCCAGCTTCCTCACTGCCTTTCCTGGGAGGGTCCCCAGTTTCCCCGGGGCCTTCCTGGGAGCCCACAGTAATGGAAGGCATAGGCAATCAGATCCCAGGGAGGGTCACATACAACATGCTGCCAACTCATTCCTTACAACTCAGCATATCTGCTGGAATCCAAGCCCTGCAAGGCCCTGGGCTCTCTAACTCCATTTCCTGCTTTGCTCCAACTTTCTGGGTCCCATGGTGAGCAAAGTGTCAGCTGAGGCTCTGCAGATCTGAAAGAGACCAAACAGAAACAGGGCTTGTCCCTCTCCTCAAATCCCAGCATCTGTTTTCCCCAACAGGCTCCTGCCTCTGCTACATTTTGGTCTATTTTACTTACAAACCCACTGTAATATTATGCCCCTTCCCTGGGTATGTGTGTCTTAGGCAAGTCTTTCCTACTATTTTGCACCTGTTTGCCTTACGAAACCAATACTAAACCAGGGTCCCTCCTGGCATCTTCCCAGCTCTCGGTGGTCATCTCCAACTGGATCTCAGAGAGAGAAACCTAACACTATTAATACTAATAATGATAATAATGGCTATTACTTATTGAGGATTTGTGCGCTAGGCCCTGCCTGTTATGAGTACTTTACACGTGCCAGGCCCTGTTCTGAATGCTTAGTGTATATACTTATTTAGGTATACAGTATCACTATCATTTAACCAATGAGAAAGCCCAGGCACAGAGCAGTTAAGTAACTTGCCCAAGTAACACAGTCTTCTAGAGTCTGCATTTGGAACTACAGGCACACCTTAGAGTGAGAGTTCAGTTCCAGACCACCGCGATAAAGCCAACATGGCAGTAAAGGGAGTTACGCAAATCTTTCTGGCTTCCCAGCGCACATAAAAGTGATGCGTACACTAGTCTGTAGTCTGTTAAGTATGCAAACAGCATTATGTTTTTTAAACAATGCACAGGACTTAATTTAAAAAAAATGTTTTATCGGTTAAAAAAAAGGCTAACCGTCTTCTGACAACGCAGCGTTGCCGCAAACCTCCAATTTGTAAAAACGCGCAGTATCTGCTAAATGCAATAAAGCAAAGTGCAATACAAGATCCGCCCGTGCTGGGCCACAGTGGGCGTCCCCTAAGAGCCAAAGTAGAGCAGGCGCTCTGGCTGAAGCCCCTTCCCGCCCTTCCTTTCACCCCACAGCTTACATCGCAGGACAGCCTCCTGGACTTGGCGAAAGCCGCCATCGGGGCCCCGGCCGTCCACGAAGTACATGAAACGCAGCTCGGCGGGGTAGGCGGCTCTGGTGAGGCCTGACATCAGCGGGATGGTGCGGCCCTCCGCGCCGGGGGCCTCGCTCAGCGCCTGCAGCATCTGGTACCTGCACCACGGGTCCCGGAGGAAGCCCGGGGTGATGAGCAGCACGCGGCAGTGGCTGCTGCTCAGCGCCTGGCACAGCTCGGACACGATGGCGCCGCCTGGGGTGGCATCGCGAAGCTGCAGGAAGCAGCGCAGGCGGGCAGCGTGGCCCTCCAGGTAGGAGACCAGCTCC